AACATTGGCCCTTAGAAAAAGTTTTGTAGATGCCAAGTAGCTAGACAGACATAGAAAAATTCTGAAACAAAGTGAGATAATCAAGAGACACTACAGAGTTTTGGCATTTGAAGAACTCCTTTCTTCACTTATCCAAAGATTAAACCAACAGAACTATAATTATAGGAATCAGACCAAGATCAATGGAGATAAACACATCATCCTTGTTATTAATAAAGCTGCTGGAGACCAGGCTATAGGTCTGTGGGCCAAGTGGGCTTGCTAATACTTGATCCCTGTTAGGTTCACCTAGCTGTAGATAAAGGGAGCTCTAAACTACCTGGACCTTCCAAGCACCTCCACCACAAGGATTTGCTTTTATAAAATTGTTGGAATGAAAGAGCAGGGCTGAACGTACTGTGAACACAGGCAGAGCCCAAAGAGAAGGGGAAGGAAGGAGGCTCTGGGTCATGGGCACCACTCCTTGCCCCCAAACCCAGCAATCACAGAAGTTACTCCTGGGAGAGGGATGTGGGCAAGGTAGTACAAAAAGCTCAAAAGATTATTTTGGTGCTGCCCCTCCAAGTGAAAATGTAAAGAACGGGATGTAGAGAAGAGTGGAGAATAAGCATTCCCATCCCATCATGTAGCCACAATAAAAAGGCCACATCTGTGCCATCCAATCAAGCAGCCCCAAGTCACATATAGCTATCTAAATCTAAATGTTTTTAAAAATCAAAATTAATTAAAATTTAATAAAATTTTAGGGGCACCTGGGTGGCTCAGTTGGTTGGGCGTCCAACTTTGGCTCAGGTCATGATCTCATGGTCCACAAGTTCGAGCCCAGAGCCTGCTTCAGATTCTGTGTCTCCCTCTCTCTCTCTGCCCCTCCCCCACTCAAGTTCTCTCAAACAAACATTTAAAAAAAATTTTTAATTGAAATTAAATAAAATTTTAAATTCAGTTCCTCAGTTGCACTAGTCACATTTTATGCACTCAGTGTCCACATGGGGCTATTGGCTGTCACACTGGACAGCACAAATATACATTTCCGTCACTGCAGAAAGTTCTTTTTTTTTTTTTAAGTTTATTTATTTTGAGACAGAGAGAGAGGGAGAGAGAGAGGGAGTGGGGGAGGGGAGAGAGAGGGAGAATCCCAAGCAGGCTCTGCATTGTCAGCACAGAGCCTGCTGAGGGGCTGAAACCCACAAACTTCAAGATCATGACCTGAGCTGAAATCAAGACTCAGATGCTTAACCAACGGAGCCACCCAGGCACCTCTCACTGCAGGAAGTTCTACTGGACAGTGCTGGGACACATGGATCACTGACTTCATGGAAATTTGTCTAAATGTGTGATTCATTTTAAACCAACGCTAATGAAACACCTATTGAACTGGTTTTCTTTCACCTGATGTGTGCACTTACACTTGCCTTCCATGCATCATTCCATAGACAGTTTTGCAGAAGCAAAGCAAGCACAGGTACCATAACATAGGAAATATAACTAAATGAAGAATAAAGATGAGGGGAAATACAAATTAGAATATCAAGGCCAGAGGGCAAGTTGGAGCACAGATAAGTTACCCAGGAGGTCCTATAGAGTTAGGAGATTTGGGACATATGTTTGATTCCTGCCTTTCTTGGATTCACCCCAAAGAATGTGATAAATGAACACACTAGAATATAGATTAGTGAACAAGTGATTTCAGTCTAATATTTATCCTTGTTAGAGCACATACAGGGGGCTCTTTAAATACACTGTTTTTATGAATACATGAAGTGGGAATATGTCTAGCATTGCCACTGAAATATTCAATTGTAAATAAAATAATAGTTACATGTGTGGCACACTTTAATTTTTTCTAATTCCATTATAATCTAGTGCCATTTCTGGGACAAAGTAGTTGCCAAACATTTTTTTGAATGCACACATCTTAGAATTCCACATATGCCCGTGTTTTTAAAAGGTGAAGGTTAACCATCTAGTTGCACCAAAACTTTTTCACTGTAATCATTTTAATTGAACGCAGAACTAAATTAAATTACATGAAGACTTTTCTTCTTAAGCAAAGAATCCTGAATATATGTGACCTTTTCTTTGAGAACACAGATGTATATTAGTATCCCATTGAGCCAGAACACTCTGAATTTCCAAAGTTTATATCCATTTTCCCCTCTGTCTTCTCTCTTACAAAAGACTGACATTTATTCATTCAGCCATCACTTGCTGTCTGCCCACCATGACCCAACATGGCACTAGGTGTGAGAGACCAGCCAGATCAATGTGCTCTTTGCCTTCAAGAATCCTGTAGTCATCTCAGTTCAGACAGAGAATTAGCACACAAGACTGGAAGGGATCTTTGGGATGATATAGTGGTCTGGCACCTTGATTGACACATGAAGAAACCATAGGCAGAGAAGATATAGTGCTGTCACTGAAGGAATGGAGCAGACTGAGTTCTAACCCAATTCACTTCACTGCCCTTACACTACACAGGTATCCCCAACTTTCTGAAAGTTTTCATTACACCACTTCATGAAAGAACTATATCAGTACTTGTTTTCACTAACCAAAAGAAATATGAAAAGGATTTTTACCTTTATGAAAAGAAGGAAAAGCAAAAGTAGCATACAAGTTTGTAGTGAACCCTTACAGAAGTAGTGTGCACCTGAGAGCAAGAGAGTCCCCACCAAGCTCCTTCTCCCAGAACTATCCTCAGCATCTCAGTGTCTAGCCTCAAAAGCTTTGAACTGTCTGTGAGCATTTGTGCTTTATCTTGACTTATTTTGTGCATCATTAGCAAGATGTGTCCTAAGGTATCAGAAAGGCCTAAGAGAGATTATTTTGGGGGCCTGGGAATACTCAAAAAAGTTTTGCATATGAATTAAGGGTAAGAGTCTGATTTGTGCTATACTGGCTTATTGAAGGTTTCACAGGACCGCTCTACTTTCAGATAACAAGAGATACCTGTATCTGTCTGCATCTTTCCTACAGGTTAGAACCAGCAGATGCCACTCCCTAGTGTATTGCTGCTAATCTTTAACGAGCTGGAAAATAAGCTGGATAAGCTAATTTGAGTTGCGTCTAATCTAACAACATGGGGCTAGGGGTGCCAACCCCCATTCAGTCAAAAATCCATGCAGTGTAACTTTTGACTCCCAAAACACTTAACTACTAATACCCTATCAACCAGAAGCCTTAATGATAACATTAACAGTCAATTAATACATTTTTTGGTAGTTATATTATACACTATATGCTTACTATAAAGTAAGCTAGAGAAAAGAAAATGCTAAGAAAATCATGAGGAGAAAATACATTTGTAGTACTGTATAGTGTATATATATAGGGAAAAATATAAATATAGTGCATATATGTGTGTGTGTGTGTGTGTGTGTATACACACACACACACACACACAGAAAAAACCTACCAGTAAGGGCAGGGACAGGGGGGTGACCCACGCAGTTCAAACCCATGTTGATCAAGTGTCAATTGTAAACTGTGAGAACCTGGCATACCGTCCTACATATAAGGAGTCTAGGCCACAGTATGTGGACTTTGAAACCTCTCTTTTGGCTGTGCCAACCCCTTTGTACTTATTTTTGGTTCTTGGCTATTTTCCAAAGAATCGATGTTGTCAGGGACATAAACACTTCTCCATTTAGCGGGTGAGCTCTTTTGTAAATGGTCTGACCACTGAGTAGTCTTCTTAACATAGGCTGTTCCAGAGGATCAGTATACACAGACAGTGCATTAATGAAAGAAGACTATTTCTGAAAGTGAATCTTTAGGAGTCTCAACTGAGTTATTCTTATTTTTTTTTTTTAACATTTATTTTTTTTGGGGGGGGTGAGAAAGGGAGTGGCAGAGAGAGAGAGGGACAGAGGATTCTAAGGGGCTCTGCGCTGACAGCAGACAGCCTGATGCAGGGCTCAAACTCAGGAAAGGCGAGATCATGACCTGCACTGGAGTTTGATGTTCAACCAACTGAGCCACCCAAGTGCCCCACAACTGAGTTATTCTTATAAAGAGATCTTGGGGTCACTCCTTTTTCCTATGGGAAAATGCCTCAGATTTAATGAAAGACACAACTTGATACATAAAACTGTACTGAACACAAATTTTCATAACTAATATGTATTTGACATAAAGACTACAATAACTTGAACTTTCAATCTCTCATCTGATTAGTTTTCTTGCCCTTCATTTAATGTGAGCTACAGTTAATCACATATATTTTAGTCATTGAAGTGACCCCTTGAATTTTATCAAGGAAATTGTAACATAGGAAGCTTGAGAATATAAATTATAGTACATTTGATAGGCAAAGCAAAATGTCATAAATAGCATTTTATTAGTTCAGACCAATAGAAATTTTTTATTGTGATTATTCAGGAAGAAGCATACATTTTTTTGTCCTCTGGTTATCTTCTTCAACTATACTGCAAATTAACAGTAATAATCCTATTATTAAGGGATAGTATTCAAAATATGTGAGAAAAAACTTCTTAAAGTACTGGAGCATTTTAAAATCTTTTATATGAAATGATAGCTTCATTTAAAATCTTCTATGTCTATTGATTTAAAATATCACAAAGGAGGGTGTCTGGGTGGCTCAGTTGGTTAAGCATATGACTCGATTTCGGCTCAGGTCATGATCTCAGAGTTCCTAGGATCAAGCCCTGTGTTGGGCTCCATGTTGGGCATAGAGCCTGCTTAAGATTCCCTCTCTCCCTTACCCTCTCCCTCTGCCACTCCCCTCCTCTCTCTCTCTCTCAAAAAAAGAAAAAAGATCACAAAGGAAATAGACAAAGAGATAATCACTCAGGCTATCAAAGTAATTAATTAATATGTCTTTTTCAACATTTTATAATTGAGACTTTTTAGTAATACATTCTGGTATTCTTTTATTATTATTAATTAGTACAGATTTACCAAATTTTCAAATGTAAATACTTCAGTATATATGCTATTTTAACCTGAGATAAATTCTTTAAATTGTACTAAATACTCACAGCAACAAACTGGTTATTTTCTAATTTAACGATGTCTCCCACTTTGACATTCATCCATTTTTCATTCTGCAGTCTAAGAACAAAAACAAAATAAATTTTTTAATTAACAAAGAAGAATCAAGGAAATGAATTTACAATGAAACATCATATAACAGAAGACTTTTCTACAATGCAAAATTCAAAGGACCTTATATAACTAAGTCTTCTACCTGAGTGATGTGGGAACTAAAGCCCAGAGAGGTCAAGTGATTTGCTCAAGGATACCCATTGAGTTGGGGGTATCCCTAGGATTAAACCCAAGATGCCTAACCCTTGGCTGTGTGCTCCATGGTGTCACCACCCCATGGTGCCAGCTTTGTATATGAGCTATTAACTCTTGCTTGCATTTCCTTGGCCAAAACATCGGCTGGTTGGGCTGGGGGCAGGGGTGAAGAGCGGGTAGCAATAAATTTAGTCATTAGCATTCTTCTCAGACTCTACATTAATAAATATAGAAATAAAACATCACTGCCATTGTCTCAGAATTCTGTTTAACTGGAGGCAAAAGAAAGTGGTCCAAGGCAATAGCTACAATGCAAGTAGGAGGAAAAGAATAAAAATTTTGGAAAGGGCATGAACAACAATGGGGGATCAAAGCAGCCTTGTGAGACTGAATGAGAAAGAACACCTACCCATCATCCATAAGCCTGTGGCTGAAGAACAGGCTTGGTGGCACTTTCATAGCCAGGAGCAATAGCTCGGAATTGAGAACCACCTAGCCAAGAGGCTGCACTGCTTTCTTTCAGGCTTATGTATATAATGGAGCCCCTAGTCTACCCTTCACCACGTTCAAAAGGACTTATGATAAAAAGCTATTGAATCTAGTTGGTTTGGCCCCTTGTGACACATTAGGAAGACAGGCCATCTGGAAACAGAACACCTGTGGCAGTATACCATGATGCTAATCACTCCATCTGAAATTCTCTGAAACATAAACCAGCTTTGTTTTCCAAGTTGAAAGCCTTCTCCACACTTCTTTCCCAGCAATCCCCTTTTAAGAGAGAAGGCTGGGATGAGAAGGGCAGGTTCCCCAACAAGTTAAGGTGGGCAGGTTAATTTCATTGTGTGGTATTTTAAAAAACAACCTAATTTACTTGTTTTATAGGCTGGAAAACAGTTTTAAATATTTATACAACTGTGAAATATGCCTCACACTATCAACCCTGCTGGGTCATTTGGCTTAAACACTCAAAGAATTTTTCTTTAATACGGATCCAAGTACATGTTGTTCTGGAAAGTTTTCAATTGGAGCATTTTCATCTCTAGCCAGAATTCAATCGTTTTTCCAATACCATACTTTTCTGCACTTTATCTACTTCAATAACAATGGAGAACACACGAAGTCCTTCTAAATCTCATTTTATTTATTTTTACAGGTATGGATTATGTGCTGATTTATTTCTCCTGGATACTACCTCCTTTGGAGCATGAGTGGCATTTCTCAGGGGACAGTATCTCAGATAAAAGCTTATGTGAATGGACTGAGATGGAGACCACGTCCTTATTTATGGAAAATGCACTGCTACTGAATTGCCCTGAAGTGTCTATTGAAAGTGCATCTGCTTTGAGGGGAAGTTCAGATGATATGAAGTTTCATTTCCAAACTCTTATTCCTCCGTCCTATCTACTAAAGCTCTAGGAAGGACTGTACCCTAACTCTTCCACCCAAATAGATAATCAACCAAAGTAAAAAAGGAGCTCTATAGGATATCTTACACATTTCAAAATGCACCTTTGATAGTTAAGTATGAACAGATAGATAGCAAAAGCCACTATTTGGGAGAACAAACCAAAATCTGAGTTTTGGTTTTTTGTTTTTTTTTTAATTCTAACTTGCTTTTCTCAAGTTCAGTATCTTATTACATTTAGTTCTTATATTTATAGAAGTATCTTATATTTAGGTATTAAATATTATAGTATCTTACATTTATTTAGTTCTCTCTATAGAACTAAAGCAATTAGAAAGAAATTATTATAAGTGTGGTGGTATCTATGGGAATTGAATTAACTGCAACACTTGGAAAAATACTAGAACAAAATCTCTCTAAGAAAAAAATTTGCAGAGGCACCTGGGTGGCTCAGTTGATGGAGCATCTGACTTTGTCTCAGGCCATGATCTCAGTGTTTGTGAGTTCGAGCCCCACATCAGGCTGTGTGCTGACAGCTCAGAGCCTGGAGCCTGCTTCAGATTCTGTGTCTTCCTCTCTCTCTGTCCCAACCCCACACTTCACTCTGTCTCTGAAAAATGAATAAACATTCAAAATTTTTTTTATTAAGGGGCACCTGAGTGGCTCAGTTGGTTGAACGTCCAACTTCAGCTCAGGTCATGGTTTCATAGTTCATGAGTTCGAGGCCCACGTCCAGCTCTGTGCTAATAAACAGCTCAGAACCTGGAGCCTGCTTCGGATTCTGTGTATCTGTATCTCTCTCTCTCTCTCTCTCTCTCTCTCTCTCTCTCTCTCTCTCTCTCCCCCCCCCCGCTCATGCTCTGCCTCTCTCAAAAGTAAATGTTAAAAATTTTTTATTAATAAGTTAAAAAACAAATTTGCAGAACCCCAGAGTATGCAAAGAATCACTGATATGATAAACATGAAACTTTATCAAAACCATATGGAGAAAGATAAACCAGAGCAAAATATCTTCCCTCATGCCAGGTGCTCATGCCTTTCCCCCCTCACACCTACCTGCACCCCTACCTATATTTTAACCTCTACTTTCTCACATACTAAATAGTTCCAAAAGTAGAAAAACACTCAGATTAAGTATTTACTAATATCTTGCTAAGATCTGACTATTAATCTACCAATGTCACCTGACAGGCAAAGAAAGCAGAAAAAACCTGAACACCACATATGAACCCAGGATCCTTTATCTCACCCAAGTCCTCTTTTTCTCTCTTGCCACCTGTGTGCCCTGTGCCCAAAACATATATCTATCAGTCTCTCTGAGCTCCTCTTCCCAGAAGTCCCCTTTGTTATCCCAGATAACTTCCAACACCTGCTCTACCTTGACCACCTACCTTTCTCTACTTACCCCAATGGAAAGTTCCCCCCTAAAAAGGAGCATTCCAAATATTTTGCTTCCAAAGTCTATATTTAACAGTATTTGAGACCTTAAAAACTTTCTGGTATGTATATGTGCAAATTCCACAGGACACAGTATCATTTCTGCAGGCCATGGGCTATAGAAAACCTTCACCAGGCAAAAATGCAGGTTGGCACAAAATTTTTCTGAACTTGAAGCAAAATATTGTTGGCAAGGTACATAATCATGGGGGAAATTTCCTTGAAAGAAAATCCCAGACTAATTAGCAACCTGGCAAGAAACAGCAAGCAGTGTCCGGTGCTTATTTCATGAATAATCCCAACAACAGACACACAGACCTATGTGTCAGATTTGTGGACAGCACCCTGCCAAGAAGACAGCATAATCCTTACCAAGTGAGCTTATGACAGAAAGTCATCTTATGACTTAAAACAGTTAACAGAAAGTAAGTGAAGAATAAAAGGAAGAAGAAGAAAATGGATTATTTTAGGGAGGAGAAGTAATACTCTACAGATCCAATTAGAGTTTTGTGAGAAAAGGGCATGGGATATTAAACAACAGGCTATGTGTGGTATCTTGGTTAAACCCTTTATTTGAATGTATATGTCGAAAAATCTGGTAAGTGTATAGTACAATCAAGGAGGGAGGGGTTTAATATTATTTTTAATATTATTTCCTATTCTATCTTGGCAGATAATTATAACTACAATTAACTAGGATATCAGAGATATGTTTCAGTGAGCACTCGGGGTCTTAGCTATCCAAACTTACTGAAACTTACAGTATCCAAACTTACTGACCAAGTATAAACTGATAAAGACCTGAAAATAAATTTAAATTATCTATATGTTAAATCCCACCATTTTTCTTGTCCTACCTACTACAACCACCACTGATGACACATCAAAGACATACCAACAAGACCAGAGGGGCAGACCGGAAGATTTAATTTAAAGCTCATCTTCAAAATATTTCTAAACTTCTTCTAAGATGTTAGCTTGTATAGTGATTGCATTTCGTCATCATCCTGAAACAATGAAAACAGACACTCCCCTGACTCTCCATGTGTGGTGCAGCTGTTCTTGGGGCTCGTGTTTGGAGCAAGCTTGCATCACAGCTCTGTGAGGGGGACACAGGATGGCCTCATGGGCTGCAAGGAAGATATCTGGGTCCACAGACTTGGCCATTACCTTTGTCAGGGAAAGCCCTTCTGCTCTCATAAAGGAATTAAAATATATGAATATTCTGAGAGCAAGTTAATTCATTTAATTGCACTGAATCCAGAGATTCCAAGATTTTTAAATAAGCTTCCATTTTCCATATCATTACATAATTTCTCACATTTTGAAATGACATAATCTAATTAATGCATCTTTGAATCAGGCTTTTGTAAAATAGATGTGGTAATGGTATAGACTTTACCTTAGTAAACTCACAAGCTGATTGCTAAATATAAGCCAAAATTAAAGAAAAAAATTCATAAAATTTCAATTCCAAAGTCACCATAAAACATATGAAGTTAAACTGCCACTGAATGGCAACTAGAATTACTTTGAGGAAGGAATTTTTTTTAAATACACCCACTAACTATATACCTATTTTCAGAACATCAGATAATCTGAGCTCTGAGAAAATATAGTGAGATAGCAACTGTATTTAGTAACTAATAAACGGTTCTGAATCTTCTTCCTCCTAATGTGACATACAGAGCTACTAGCTAGGCTATGCTGAGAAACTTCTTGAGAAAACACAATTCCAACAGTGAGACAGTACCTACCATGTTCCCTGTTGTTGAACTATCGGCTCTAGAGGCTAGAAATCAAGCATTTGCTTTGAGCAAAATATCTTAAGCTCACTGCTGAAGCTTAAGGGACATAAGGAGATCTTCAACAGGCTCCTCAATGTTCCTGTCATCTTTTCCATACTTTAATATTTCTGGTTGCCCATTAGAGCCCGAAAAGAGAATTTCCTCAAAGCTACAGAAGACAT